AAAATATTTGCTATTTCCTCTTTCCCTTCACAATTATGAATTTAACTGAAATTCAAAACAATCAAGTAGGAGGCCAGCAAATGCAAGCAGGTGCTTGCAACTTCCTAGCTTGGAATCTCTTTTTCATCTGAACGGGAGGCAGAAACTGACACCCATCAGCAACCAACCAGGTATGTGTGTAATATTAAATGAATCATGGTGGACAATGTACAATTATTGTGATTATATTATATTATATTGTTGGAATATAAAAATAACGAATATCACTTCTAATGTAATATCTAAATTTATTGATTATTTAATTATTTCTGTCAGTCTCAGGTGTTTTATCATCAAGTTAGACAGTGCTTTTAACTGTGTCATTAGCATAATAATGCTTTTACCACACATGCTGATAGAGGCAGATGAATAAAACATGGATAATGAATTGATGCATAAAAGCAATACCATGCAGTGAACAATTTACATTGTATACATTATTATGACAATTTAGAAAACTAAAAATGACAGACCATGGTCCAATGTTGTTGAAATGATTGTATAATCCTCTCCTTTCAAAATAGAGTCATTACACATTACATATTACTACATAGCAATAGATGAAAGCAAAGTACAATGTACAAGAATTAAACAATGCACAAATTGTTAGAAATAATGATAGATAAATATTATTCAGCTCACTGGTAGGGCAATCACCGGTCAAGCATGAATGTCCTTGGCTTTCTTTTATGAACAAATAACTTTATTTTGCATGTTACGGTTGATCACTACAGATTCATCAAAGTATTGAGACGACTCACATAAATTAAATAAATTAAACACAAAATGGAGCCTCCAAAATGGACTCACCATTCCATTCTCAAAACAGTTGTGAATATAACATGAAACTATTATGAATATTGAATTTCCATTTATTCAACAGAAATAACAACATTTGATAAAATGCATATTGGAATAATGTTTTAATCATTAGTTTCCTCTTGTTTCCAGATTAATGCAGATAAAACCTACCTGAATTGAAATATTGATTTGATAACTGCCTTTAGAATACTCTATTTTTTTTTAATTTATTTCTTTTAATGTATCAAGTATAACTTCTACAAATCTCTTAACAAAACAACAGGAAATCTCAATGTTGTCAGGAAGTATTTGAATATACTTGATTGTGGTCTTTACATAGACAGTGAATTTTCTGTGAGATGGTAGACACTACAAATCTAAATCTCAGTCACATGACCCTGGGCCATTAAGGAAAATTTGTACCACGGTAAAGTCAAAGTATTACTATTGCCTTTTAGCAACATGGAAAAAATTGGACAAAATTGGTTTTTGGGTATTTCCTTAGAAAAACCATTGTACTGCATATCCACTATGATAGTTGCCGATATCTAAGCTTTCAGATGGATGTATAGGTAGTTATAATAGCAAGTTTTAGAGAATTTCTGAATCACAGGTCAATTTTACACCTTAATATACACAAATTCTGACTGAAATTAAATCAGACACAAAGTACTGGAGCCAGCAAAGGTGCTAAATATCATCTGATATTAACATCAAGAAGGTCACTCATGAAAAGTCGAAACAATTGTGTACTGTACAGTAAAATCAATTATCACCTGTTACCTGACTGAATGGCAAAACATAGATGATTAGAATTTATTGAAAATAAGAATTCACTTTTATTTTTAGAGCAAATATAAATCAGCACAACTGAAATTAAATTTGCCTTTTATATTTTGCATTTGTTTTATTTTGTTCACAATCGAGAAGAGTAACTCTAATAGGTCACTATGTGGGTTGGTTGTAATCATGAAGCTAAAAAAAAGCTTTGCTGAGAGAGTGTAGTAAAACAAGAAAAAATTTGTATTGTCTCAAAGTGAATCAAATAAGATAGAAGTAAGTAAATAAATTACCGGTACATATAATTCGCCAAAATGCTAATTCAGCAAACATAATATATGTAAATGAATTAGATCTTCTTTCTCAGAATATCATAGTATTAGTTGGGATTAATGCTATTTTTGTAACAGATAATTTAAATGAAAATAAAATCCTGAGCAAAAAAAATTATTTTAGAACAATTATAAAATATATATATCACAGCACTGTATTATCAGCAAAAACACATTCTGCAGAATCTATACTATTCTTGAAAATGTGCCAATTTTAGATCTTTTTGTATCTAAATATAATTATATTCACTGAATTTAACTCACCAAATTATTATATAAGAAAGCTGCATTCCTTTTGGAAATGGATAATCACTCCAGAAATAGCATTATTGTTCAAATTGAAGTATGAAGGTCAATTGCCATGGTCAAATTTTACAACACACTAACAATGAGGTTTCAAGAATAATTCCTTTAAATCACATTATGTATGCATTCAAAATGTATTAGCATTTCAAATTTAAAACCATTCAAAATTCCTTTATTTGGGATAAAATCATCATCAACATTGAACGCATTTCAGGTTATTGACACCACAGTCAAACACTCTCATTGCCTGGCAGTATGGGAATTCATCGATCATCGCCATGTGATGGTCGATATGATCATCATACAGCCTTCATGCTTTATTTGCTATATTCTTATGATATCTTTAATATTATACAGATAACCAAATGTGATTCAGATGTAACTATTACATTGTGTAATAATGTTTTCTTGAACTTGGGTCGTAGAACTCCCACATAACACTTCAATTTGGATTTGAACACCAATATAAATATATTTGAATGAAAATTACTAGTACTCAACTTCAAGAAGTAAAAACATCTGATTTGTGTACTAGTATGTAAATACTCTAAACATGATAGCCTACACAAAGTCATGATGACAAAGTTGAGAGACTGTGGCCTGTATTAAGGTGTGAATTTTGTTTCACGGTTCGATAGGCCACTGATATTTAAGATAAACGCCGGGTTTTGTACACGTTGCGCATAATTCAAAGCACCTTGCCAAGAAATGAGTCATCGTGCACAGTACATTATATATGCTACCAAATCAGAACAGAAGGTACAGCTGACTACGCATTGTGGATCAGGGCAAACTTCAGTGAAGCGATGATCGCAAAATCACGTTGCTAGCGTTAACATATAACTTGCTACAGTCAGCTTAGTTGTACTAGGCATGGGAATTGTGAAAACGTTGGCAGCTTGTCAGAAGATTATAATAAATAACGCACGAACCAGATAGAACTTGATCGATTGTTTACAACCACTTAGAATGAATTCATTTATACACACACCAGTCCCTCCCCCGAGTTCGGTGTAAATGTTCGTGCATATATTTTGGAAGCGATAAACAATTTTGGTGAATTATTTAGATGAATTTATAAGTGGACATTCCACAACTCCAGTCAAGCTGATAATACACACTCAGGAAAATTTAATTTGCGAAAGCAAGTTTTTTTTAAAGACAAAACTTACGATGTGTTCTCTCACTGCATCGAGAAAATGCTGCTCTCTGCTGTCCCATTCTGAATCCATTTTCGGCTGTTCACGCTAAGTTTGGTCCACGCAGAACACAATCTGTCCAAATCTTTCAACACACATCGTAAAATCACCGCAAAATAGAGCAAAACATTCACATCTCTTCCAGTCTAATATTACTGGCTCTGTTTTCTTCTGCAGTCTGCTGTAAGTCTCGCCGCTCACAACTCTCGAACTGTACGTGACGTTGCGTTGATTTTTAGTACGCCATCTACGTCCAATATGGGCTTTTGCTTTTGTTTAGTTGCAGTCCCCGGACAGATATTGGCAATTTCATAACACATATTTGACAACCAGATATTTCGAAAATAGTAAATCATCTACCGAAGCCGGGAAGCGGGTTCTTCTGTTGGAAAGATATTATATTATAGTATGATAAGTATAGTATATTATATTTAACACGAAAATTCAAATTCATTTATAAATTCACAAAAGATTATTAATTGTTTAATATTTCTTCAGTATATCCGCTTCTGAATGATTATTATTTGATGTGAATTATTTCTAAATTTAAGTTTATTATTATGTCTTATGTCCAATGGATAGTACATGTATTTCATATGCTGAACCATTCACAATGTTTATTATCAGCGCTAGTAGTTCCAAAGGAAAACAGCATCTAACCATAATTTTCACGGTTTTATCTCTGGTAAATGTTTAGTAAATATCTTACCGATTGGTTTCGAATAGTTTCGAATTGTGATATGAGAAACAGTGTGCTTTTATTGACTTTTATTGGCGATACACTTTTGCGTCAAACATTAAGAGGACGCAAGACTATGGGAGGAATCATACTTTCCTGTGTCGACAAAATCTCAATACTAGTATCCGAAAATAATAACTTTAAAGCGCGGGAATCACGTGACAATAGCGTGTCATTGTTCACAAACAAGCGCCTACCCATGAGCCTTTGCATTCTTAGCGTGTGTTGTTATCGTCGGTTGGGACTCAATTCCCGCGCGTGCGCAGGTGACACCCCTTACATTACATTGGGTATTTACATTACGAGCCTTTTTTTACATATGTAAGTATATTCTTCAAATAAAAAGTAGCTTTATTATTTAAAGATTTATAAATAAAAATTGGACTTCGTTGCTAAGGGTGATAGTTTTGCGCTAACTATATATAGTCTTTTGTATCATGGTCCTTCCAGTCTAAATTCTGGTCAACAATAAGTTTCTCAGATGTAGTCGAATTAATGATTTAGCACATTATTGAGTTTCCTGTTAGATGGAATAAGTATTCTTAATTTCCGAGTCGTTGGAATGAACATCGGTTTTCAAACTATGTTTAGAGATTATTATTTTTTCTATCAAAATATTTTGACAATTTGAGTTTCTTATAAATGTATCAGAAATGGCTGACATACCTCAACAAAGACTAAAGA